CAGATTGTGTCTTCCATCACTGCTTCCCTCAGATTTGATGGAGCCCTGAATGTGGATCTGACAGAATTCCAGACCAACCTGGTGCCCTATCCCCGCATCCACTTCCCTCTGGCCACATATGCCCCTGTCATCTCTGCTGAGAAAGCCTACCATGAACAGCTTTCTGTAGCAGAGATCACCAATGCCTGCTTTGAGCCAGCCAACCAGATGGTGAAATGTGACCCTCGCCATGGTAAATACATGGCTTGCTGCCTGTTGTACCGTGGTGACGTGGTCCCCAAAGATGTCAATGCTGCCATCGCCACCATCAAGACCAAGCGTACCATCCAGTTTGTGGACTGGTGTCCCACTGGCTTCAAGGTCGGCATTAATTACCAGCCTCCCACTGTGGTGCCTGGTGGAGACCTGGCCAAGGTGCAGCGGGCTGTGTGCATGCTGAGCAACACCACAGCCATTGCTGAGGCCTGGGCTCGCCTGGACCACAAGTTTGATCTGATGTATGCCAAGCGTGCCTTTGTTCACTGGTACGTGGGTGAAGGGATGGAGGAAGGGGAGTTTTCTGAGGCCCGGGAGGACATGGCTGCCCTAGAGAAGGATTACGAGGAAGTTGGTGTGGATTCTGTTGAAGGAGAGGGTGAGGAAGAAGGAGAGGAATACTAAAAATGTCACAAAGGTGCTGCTTTTACAGGGAAGCTTATTCTGTTTTAAACATTGAAAAGCTGTGGTCTGATCAGTTAATTCATATGTAGCGATGTATGCTCTCATATACAATTACTGACCTATGCTTTAAAACAAATGCTTTGTCACAAACAGACCCAAACTGTCCATTTCTCTGATGGGTTTTGAATAAAGTATTCCCTGTCCTAAATTAGCTGTCTTCTGTTCTTTTTGTCTTTGCTTTTTTTTTTTTAAACTGGGAAAATGAACCCAGAGCCTTAATACTGGACTAAATCCAAAGTCATTTTTTAAACCTTGTATTTTTTAATATATTTTTTTACTGTTTTGTTTTCTCATTGAGTTTATTGGTACATTTTAGGTATACAGTACAGTTACATTCATTACTGGGATCTTGTACCTTTACATGACAGGTCTTGTTTCTCATTTTTTCTCCATAGCCTTGCCCTCCATCCCCTCCTCTCTTCCCTATTTACAAAAACTTTTATTTTCATTTTCCCATATTTTTTTCTTTTCCTTTATTTCCTTTCCCCTACCCTTCCCACTTCCCCTATACCTTTAGCCTTTTCTTCCTATTACACACTGTCAATTATACCATTAGGACCTTATTACAATTATAGTTTTTCACACCAGAGAAACTATTCAGTATTTACAAATGTTAAATCTTTTATTTTGAGACAGGGTCTCTAATTTGCCCAAACTAGGTTCAAATTTGCTGTCCTCTTTTTTTCCAGCCACCCAGTTCTGGGATTACAAGAATGTACCACTAAACCCAGCTGTCTTGTGTTTGTATATGGGTGCCTGAAAATGTATGTAAAGATTATCATTAGATAGGATTACATACCCTTCTGAAATTTGACTTCACTGCAGAGTTATTTAAATTAGTACATAGCCATAGTCTGCTTGGTTTCATACAACTAAAATAGGAATAACCCAAATGCAACAACAAGGTTTTAGAAGCTCCTTTTCATGCTCCCTCAACAACTTTTGTTTTGATACAGAGTCTTGAGATGCAGTTCAGGCTGGCCTCAAACTAAAGATGATCCTCCTACCTCAGCCACCCAAATTCTGAGATTATACAGAGTGCACCACCAGGCCCAGCTTCCCTTAACAATTTGATATGTATTTTGTGCTATATGCTTCCTCTACCCTGAGTTCTCAAGTCTGGTCTAAGTAAGTGCCTCCTGTACTAATCCTACATCTTAAGTCTTTTTCCCAAACCTATTTTTTTATTGACATGTTGGAATAGTCTAATAGATTTATTTGCTCTAACGTGTTGGGTTACGTATCTCAATGTTAACTCTCCAAGGATATTTTTTTTTTCTTTTTTGGTACCAGGGATCAAACTCAGGACCTTGCACTTGAAAGGCAGGCAGTGGAACCACTGAGCTAAATCCTTGGCCTTCCTAGGATATTTTTATTTCAGTTTGGGTCAATAACCTTAAAGAAGATTAATGTAATGGTGCAATTACTGGCATTAGTACCAACTCTTAGAAATAGTTTTCAGGGCTGAGGATGCAGCTCAATGGCACTGCGCCTGTCTGGCAAGCACAAGATACTGAGTTTGATTCCTGGTACTGGAAAAAATTTTTTCAATCACGCATTCTCCAAAAATAGAGCTGTATTGCCAGTCCAACTGACCAAAAGACCATCTCTTTCCAAAGAAAACAAATCTTACATTTTCTTGTTCTGGAGTAATACCAGTACTAATGAAGATTTTTGGTGTCAGTTGCTGACTTTATTTTTACCTTGACACTGGCAACTAAGGGGCTGTGATGGTATTTAGTTACTGAGATTTGGGTTTAATGTTAATAAAAATAATACAGGGGCCGGGGATGTAGCTCAGTGGTGCCATGCCTGCCCCACACTCACAAGGTCGTGAGTTTGATCCCCAGTACCACAAAAATAAATAAATAAAAATAATGCAGTACAAGAAGCTTGGGGGGGCACATTGCTTAGGGGTAGAGCATGTGCAAGGCCCTGGATTTAATGCCCAGCACCATCCCCCAAAAAGACAAGATCCATTAATTTCAAAGCCAACCCAGTAGTGCTCAGCAGTTTTAACTAGAACAATATAAACAGATCTGCTGCACAAAAAGTAAAGTCTTGCTTATTTATTTATTTATAGCCAGGCATGTTGGCACATGCCTGTAATCGCAGAACTCAGAAGGCCGAGGCAGGAGGCAGGAGGATTGCTGCAAGTTTGAGACCAGCCTGGGCTAATTTAGCAATGGGCTGGGGATTTAGCTCAGTGGAGCTGCCACCTACCTTGAAAGTGCAGGGTCATAAATTCAATCCCTGGTACCAAAACAAAACAAAAAACCCCAATATGGTAACTAGGTCAAAGGTAAGTTTTATATATACCTTGTCAGCAACTGGCAAAAAGGACATGATAGTTTTACAACAATTGTTGGCTGAAACAGTCTGCCAGGCAAGGTGGCACACACCTGTAATCCTGGAACTTAGGGAAGCTGAGACAAGAGCATCACCATGAGTTCAAGAGCAGCATGGACTACATAGTGAGTTCAAGGCCAGCCTGAACTACATAAAATGTCTCAAACAAACAAACAACAACAAAGAAACAGTCAAATATAGGATAAGAAATACAGACATAACCCCCCCAAAAAAGTAAAAAACTACCATCTCAATTTTAATTACAGAAGGACAAAAATAAACATTTTTCTAGTTTTGTGTACTGAAAGGGACTGTAATAATGAATACCTGTAGAACCCATATGGTCTCTAAATCCATTTCCCATTAAAAAGAACCAGAATGTTTTTTTAAATGTTCCCATTAAAAGAAACCAAACCTGAACAGGAAATTCACAAGTTTAGACTCAAATGTTTGTCACTCTAGAAAGCAAGGAAAATATCAAAGATTATTAAA